AGCCTACGAGCATTCCCTCATAACTAGCGCTTCAGTTTGAGTGTATCTTCGAACACGGGAACGTGCGAGGCCTTACTGAGCAACGAGACAGCGAAAAGTCTGCCACGGGTCTAAGCACTGCTAGTTAGCACCTGAACCCCGGAAAATCTTCCCGCAAGAAACGCACGCTAAATTTCGCCCTCCTCCTTGTTAGTGTAAATAACACGAAAATTGGTCCACCTGAGAAAAAATAATTAACACTCCGGGCTCACGGATTGAGATTTTGGCTCTCAGCTTAGAGATCGTTCTTCCATTCTGTTGAGAACTTACCATTCAGCAGCCTGGGCTGGGTTATTCAGTATGGTTGCCACAATTCGTGCACCGTGATTGGGTGGATTGGACCACATTGGACGGATGATTGCCTTCAGTTGGCTGCGGACACGCTCAGCTGTCTCATTATCTGTTGTCACTACACATGTATGACCTGCCCTTTCATCTGCAAAGGAAATTTAGTGGGCTGGAGGAAATACATTTACTGCGATTCAAATTAATAGTTTTAGTGCTTCGTTCTTTTTAATTAGTTTCCATCGGAAGATGTTACAACCTATGCCTTTCTTCCAAACAACACTTGAAGTCCTTTGTCATACGTGCAAGGCCTTCGCATTATGCAGGTATGCCCCTATTTACATATGACAGGGATGAATAATGTCAAAATACACGTACATTAATTTTTCAACAGTATATTGCCCAAGAAGGAATAAAATCAGGCTGATGGCTAAAAGCTGTAGCCGGCTTAGAGTGTCCCTGCATTGGTACCAAGCACTGTGAAATTATGATACAAGAAAACAAAGGAAATATCCATTAATCTAGAATTTTTTTGCTTTTACAAAAACATGCCCAGCTTCAGTGCACAATCATTCCTTTTCTAAAACACAGTCAACCAGCTGCTACAAGTACTTACTGTATAATCCAAAGTTCTTAGCAAATGATTGACCAACAATCAGTTCAAATCCTTCACTAACAAAGTGGCGTACTGCCCAAGCATCCTCGTCAGGATCACCTGACACAAATCCTTGGTAGGCCATATCAAACAAAGGAAACAGGTTTTTTCTCTGATTAGAAAAAAAAAAAAGGATCCAAAAAGGATCCATATACACTGTTAAGTAACTTATTAAATTGAAAACATAGGAGTAAGCAGTGGCAAATCAAGGAAGCGTTTCTTCAAAGATGGATGTTTCAGGTCAAATTTGAAGTTCAAAATTCATGCACTGCTTTGTTTGTTTGTTCCCACTTTGTTTGAGAGGAGGGGGGGGGGTAGGAGAGGAGGAAAGGGGGATAGCACCAAAGCTGGAGAAGCTAGAGAAAACTGTAATGCCAGTTAAGTTATGCAATTAAACCCAGGCCACTAGTGTGGGAACTAACAACTTGTTAGCAGATTGTTCTTGTTGTGGTATGGACAACAAACCCTATGCTCAGTTTCCAGCAACTTGATGATAGTACCTCAGAACCTACAATTGGGGACAAAATTGCTGACACATTGATCTTTTTGCCCCCCCCCCTACTATTTCAATCTTTTATCTCTTTTGCCCTATTCACCCCACTCCCCCTCCCTGCCCCCCCCAAAAAAAAGATGTTGTATCATGTTCCATGAACTTTTAGCCTACATTGAATTAAGGAGGGGAGTCTGTTAATGATGTAGAGTGTGGTAGAAACAGGACTGTTATTCTTCAATAAATAGAACTCTTTAAACATGTGTCAATCAATTTTGATGCTGACTGTGGGAAAACTACCTGATAGGCAAACAAGGCACATGCTGGGCTGTACCATCCAGGTTCCCCAAGAGAAGCACATGTACAACACACTGAACAGCTTAAGCTTAAAAAAAAAATCATTCTATTAAAATATCAAATACGTACACAGAGGCATGTACTTGATATTGTAATGACTATATTTAAACCATTTTAGGGCACCTGATTCATAATTATATATTAAATAAGTTAGAAGTATAGAATACCTTCATTATTTCAGCAATCTTTTCCCACTGTTCCTGGTTGGGATCTACTCCGGTTGGATTGTGTGCACAAGCATGAAGCAGGATTATTGAGCTATCTGGAGCATTCTGGAGGAAATTAATGATTGCAAAAAAAAAAAAGAAATAAATAATAGAATTTATAAGTATTTCATTACTGTTAGTACCTGTAACCTGCAGTTATTTCCTCCATGTTCATTTATAATAACTATTTTGCATGTTTCTTCTTGTATTCTTACACTTATAATAAAAATTATAGCTTATGCTTCTTGCCAACCAAAAAGATGAGAAAACAACTCTTAATCATTAAAACACATATTTGGTAAAAAATCATTTATAAGTAACCCAGAGAATTGCCAGAGAGGTGTGAACATCCCTTTCTACATCTATGCAATTCTCTCCCTTACTTAACTTTCAACTTTCTTCACACTAGTCTGCTCTTTGTTCTTCACTTCTCTTAGTGCATTTACCATCTAAGACCCCAGCCCCTTCCCTCCCTCTAAGGTCCAAAAATTTATGTTCTATCTAACTTTGAGTTCTATACAACTTAAATAGCTGGCATATGTTATATTTTCACCTCTAAATCTTCCCACATGCCCTGGAAATCCAAGCCTTTTGTTGCTTTATCAAAGTAACGATACTCCTTGATGTTTTCAGCCTTGTAACCAGTGGCTAAAAGCATTTTCTTGTGGTTTCCTTCAAAAATTTAGTTGAGATAAGAATTTTACTGCACTTAAAGTAGTATTTAGAACAAACCTACAGTTTAATTTAAATGGAGCAAAATGTTACATCCCACAACTACTAAATTTTTTGTGTACATGAATAGGAGATCACAGAGGCCTTTCACTTGCCCTGCCAAAAAGGAAATAGAGTGGTACATATGGATGTGACTTGAGCATATTGGTAGTGACACCATTGTCAATACATGTCTCTGTGGCCAAAGGTTTCCACCATCAAGGAAGGAGATAACATTGTGCCTTGTTAGCTTGTTGGCTTTATTATAGCTTCCCCAGAAGCCATGCAATTTATTAGATTGTCTGAGCCCAATGATCAGCATTCCTACAGAAACACTAGAAGTGGCTTTTTGGAAGATATGAAAAAAAAAAAAACTTGCATGATGTTTTGTTCTGTTTAGCTTTTTCTTTTTTCATTCATTAATTTTCACTTGAACTTTTTAAAAGGAGTATTTTGCTTTCCATCTGAGCCAAAAATTATCTTTCTGGATTAAGTGAGGATTCTCAATCTAGTTCATATACAACGTATGCCTTTCTCCAAGAGGTATACAGCCCCTCCAATGTAGAGCAGGTGATTGTTGACCCATGTAATACCAATTCTTTTCTAGATTAGGTTGCAAGTATTTTGGTCTATGAATGCTATTTTCCTTTCCAGAAATAAAATTTACTCTCGATTGCAAAGTGGGTGGGTGTTTAAAGTGCTACTGAAACATAATTTTCATATCCGAGATTTTTGCAATATAATAGAGCTTGAACGTTATTTGCAAACGCTGTGTACTTTTTTTGGGCCAACGCATACCAGAAAGTACATTTTTAAGCATTCGAAGTTGACTGGCTGAGATCAAAATTGGCGGCCATCTTGGCGCGGCCAAAACAGCCCTGTGACGTCACTGGTTGTGTACTTCTGTGAAAGAAGGGTAAAAGCATGGAGTGTGGCTTGCATGTTGGGAGGCCGAAAAAGAGGATTTCGGGCAAAATGCCATCCTCGTCTTATTCATCGGCGGCCACATCGGCATCTTGGCTATCTGCGAGAGGTTCGCCTGGATAGGGAGCAAAATTCCCGACTGATACCGAGAACGAATCTCTACCAGTCTATTTAGTTAATCGGCAACTGACGAGATCCACAAGATTAGGATCGAAACCGCGGTCTTGCCTGACCATCTACAGAAAAT